TACTTCTCTCATGGTAGCTATAGATCTCTGGGTTTGGATTGATTTGCGGCTTGCAAAGACTGGGGTCTTGGCTGCTCATTGTTTGAAGCAAATCTGAGAGTGAGAAGGGATATTCTTGTATGATTAATTGAGGAAGATTGTGTAGCGAGAGTTCCTGATTAGGCTATCTCTACACAGGTTTCCATTTCTCAATCAAAGGCCGCAACAATTGTGGGCACAAAGTTACTGGGAATGGAGAGGAAGAGGGGGAAGAGGAAGAGGTGGTTGGCGACAAAGTTACTGGGAATGGAGAGGAAGAGGGGGAAGAGGAAGATGAATAAGCGAAGATTGGGTGGGGGTGGGGGTGGGAGCAAATAATTATTTTTTATTTTAATTTTCTAAGAATTTTTTATTTTACTTATAACTCAATTTTTATTTAATTCGAATTAAAAAATATGAGGTCAATGACGTGGCATCTATGTGGCAGACACATTTTTTGCCACGTCAACAAAAGTCAACTACGCGTTGACCACCGTTTGGTCAATCGTTATCTTTAACGGTCAACGAAATTAACAGGATACAAATGACACAAAGTATCATAGTTCAGGACACAGATGGAATATTTGATACAATAGGATACAAGTGGCATTTTTGTGATAGTTCGGGTGTTGTAGTGGTATTAGCCCTAAAATCAAAAATGACAATGAAAAGTAATTAAGTTACTAACATAAAATCACTAAGGACAATGAAAAGTAATTAAGTTACTAACATAAAATCACAAAGGGCAATGAAAAGTAATTAAGTTACTAACATAAAATCACAAAGGGCAATGAAAAGTAATACAAAACAAACTTATGAATTAACGTTAATCGCAAAAACAAAATGATTTAAAGGTGCACAACTGAAATTTGAAGAAGGAAGAGGAGAAGTGTGAAGAATTTGTGTTCTCTGAATCAGCCTATTATAGGCGAATTTTGGACCACAAACCGTGGGTGGGGGGAGCGGTTTTAGGTCTGCCATGCAGCCCCACCCCCTGCATGCCGACATGTCTGTTGTCGGGTCACCAGACACAAACCGCTCCTTGGGGCAGCGGTTTATGTCTGCTATCGACAACAAACCGCACCTTTAGGCAGCGGTTTGTGTGTGGACAAGGTAAACCGCACCCTGGAGGGGCGGTTTATCATGCCGACAATAAAACACTTCCTGTTCAAGCGTTTTGTGGTAGGGTTTGCATATAAACCGCTCCTTAGAGGAGCGGTTTTATCTGGAAAATAAAAACGCTGGCTGACGAGGCGGTTATAGTGTAAACCGCTGCCACGAAGTGCGGTTTGTTTATTAACCGCCACTTTGAGGGGCGGTTTTAAATAAAGGCTGGTATTTTTGGAAATTGTTGGCAATGGGTGGTATTTTTGTAATTTTTTTTTAAACAGTGGTAGTTTTGGATTTTTTCCGATCTCTTGGTGGTTTGGGCCAAATTGATAGCTAGAAACTTACCCAAATAAAGCCGGAATAAAAAATAAGATTGGTAATAACTTAAGCAAAACTTTTTGTTTCCTTTTATTGTTCATATTGTAAACCTTGCATAATTGTATGATATTTACAATAACATTTTTATTTTTGATTATTTTCGATTCAAAGACATGTATACTATAAAGAGATTCAACTAAAGAAGTGTTATCTTATCTTGATCAATCAATTCCAACCTCGTCAAACCTGTGTGTTGAGTTCCAAATGTCAAAACCTTAATCACTTCAGCCAAAAATTGGCTCTGCACCATTTTGGTAGGGTCTTCCCAATTAGCCATTGCTAATCTTAATTAATCCTAATCTAACATAAGAATAACATAGAGGCAAACTTGATAATTATTCATGTTTATTGACTTGCCATTGATAGTCTCAGCCGAATTGATATTAGAATTAAATAAAAGTGAACTAAAAAATCATTAGTACTTATTGACTTGCAATTGCAAACTCAAATAAATTCCTCCCAAGCATTCTATTTAATTTATCGTTATTTTTTTTTTCTTTTAAGTTTAAGTATAGTGGTTGTCCCGAAAAAAATGTGGTGTCTACTGGATCTATTACCGATTGATTTGGATAGAACTTTTAACAAATGAACTAATAATGAATAAATAGTATTATATGTGGACATATTTGTTAGAACAACATGACATAGGGGACCAAAAGTGTTATTGACCTATTTTCTATTTTCCATGAAAATGAAAGTCCATTTACTTATTTATTATATATAGAAAAAGTGACGTGAAGAACTCCAACAGTCTTTAGGCCCCTTCCTAAACCCACTGTCACAAGAAACTTTGGTCGGCTTATTATTAGATCTTTCTTTCTTTTCCCTCCCTTACTCTTTTCTTATCTATTATTATTAATTATTTCCGTATCATATCATATCATAATACTTATTCTGAGTATTATTATTATCTCATAAACTAAATATTAATTATCTTCTTTTGCCGCCACTTCCACTGTTACAGCATGCCAATTAGCTCATCATCCCCACATAATCAAGTTTTACTAATTGCCCCCCATTGACTCTCCAGCGTCCACTTGTCCACCCCTCATTGGCTCCCCTCCCTCCTGTGACCTCATCCTTGTATACATAGTTTGTGTAAGCTGACAACCTAACTTACAAGTTTTGTGTTTTTCTATAATTTCACCATTTGATTGAGTGTTAAGTTATCACTTTGTGTCTTGCATTAGTTTATGAAAGTTAAAAGACAAATTTGTGCTTACAAGTTTCTTAACTTATTAATTCTTGATTTGGATGGGTGAGTCAAACATACCATTACATACCATACGATAACTCAATTAGGTTACTAAACACCTTTCTCCTACCTGCAGGCGGCTGCAGCTACATGTTTGATTAGGAGCTAAGCCGTATTATTATATGCATAATACACAATTACAGAAAACCATTAGGCATGTGAATGAGCTGATGAACAACTCTTCTAGCTTAACTATGCTTGCTACAAAGAGTTTTGCTACATTTACAATTTTATTAGGCTTGAACCAGGTTAATTAAACCCGTTGTACAGAAGAGAAAAGAAACCAAAAAAAAAAATGTCGTCTTTTCGTTGGAGTTTTGACTCTAGATTAAAGTCAAAGCTGCAAAGACATTGGAAACTAGTGAGGAGAATCACATTCTAAGAAAACACAGAAAAAGAACCACTTTTATGGTTCTGCTGCTGCTGCAAAGTTACTTGATAAATGTGTTTTACTTAAACCTATTCAAAGGGTTCTCTTGCAAGCATAACACTAAGACTAAGAGGCATAAATCAACCACACACACTTTCACAAGTAAAAGTCATAGTAACTTTGGATTCCAGTTCGTGTTCGGATGCTTCCCTTGCTTAAGACTCAATCTTCTTTTTCTTCCCCCCAATAACATCCATATTTAAAGTGTTATACATATATTTATATCTCTCATCAAGTCTCCATGTTTGTACATACCAGTCTCGAAATTTGAATTTCTAGTTAACCCTGTTTCCCGCAACAAACATCCCATATTATGTTTCTTTTTTCCCCTTATTATTATTCTTGAATTTTGACATTATTAATATTAGCAGCAGAAGCCATAAACCCCCTAAAAACAATTTGCAGATATCTATGTACTGCAGCAAGAAAGAATGTCTGTTCTTCTCCAGTTGCATGCAATTGAGTGTCTTTCAAGCTTCTCTGATACCATCTACATAGAGATTTGAGAGATGGAAGAATTAGGTTCTCCCAAGTAAAAAATAAAATTTTTGCTTCCCCAACAAGTTTCCTTCCTTCTGCTGCATGTGAAGTTAAGTGAAGCTGACTTGCAGCAATCTTTTGCCTAAAAGAATGACATTCCCATATTCTGATGCTATGCTGCTTGGGGTTCTCATTCTTAACAATGTTCCTCCCAAAAAAGGACTTTTCTTTTCGTGCAGCCCTTTGGTAAAGGGATTATTTCCCTAAATACAGTGAAAATTAAAAGTAATTCCCACAATACATCACTTTTATAAAAATTTCCCAAAATACCAAAGTTTGAACCGGTTCGAGTTTAACAAACTCGAACTATGAAGCAGATCGATTGTTAGGGGATCGATCCACGTGCATCGAGTGAAACAGCAGCGATTAGCTGGAACGGGACGACGCGGATCGAGTGCAGAAAACTCGATCTACGTGGATCGATTACAGTACCCTCGATCTGATTGACATGGATCGCTGACATAAGCAGCGCTCCACCATAGATCGAGTTAAGGGGAATCGAACTCCACCGTTCGATGGCAAAGTCCGCGATTTACTTTTGACGCGGATCGAGTGGGGAAAAACCGATGCAAGTGGACCGAGCTCTCACAAATCGATCTACTTGACGCGGATCGATGACGTCAGAGGCGCTCCACCGTAGATCGAGTTTGCCAGACTCGAACTAGTCGTTCGATTTGCCTGTACTCGAACTGCTTTTGACGCGGATCGTGGGCGGAAAAATCGATGCAGTGGTTCGAGTCTCCTAAACTCGATCCACTTCAACCATCTGCACCCATAAATACCCCCCCCCCCCATTCCACCAAAATCCCACACCACTCCATTCTTCTTCCTCTATTCCTCCCACCACTCTTGAAGAAAAAAATATGCTCTGTGGTTGCGGCTAAGCCCGATCTTCCGCATCAGATTTTTTTTCTTTAGTTTGGTACTTCTATCACTCAAAATTGCCGAGATGGATCCGAGTATTTACGATCCTAGATTATACATTCAAGGCGGACCGCGAGAAACCGATTTGTTGGATGAGCAACCTTACCATCGGTCTGAAAGTGTTTGGGCGGCAGATCCGGTAAGCACTTCCTCATTTACTTTTCTTTTTTTAAATGTGATAGTATTCTTCTAATTTTTTTTGTATAATAATTGATATTTTTTTTTCTACAGGAACAACTTGACGTAATCACCCATCGGTCGCTATCTCGCTTGCCTAAATGGGATGATCGTATCGAGCCCTTCATTGAAAGAGCGCGATTGCTGAGGGTGCGAAAGTTTGTGGGGATGGAGATGGACAACAACCTTCTTACGGCAATGGTGGAAAGATGGAGAAAAGAAACGCACACATTCCACCTTCTAGAGGGAGAGATGACGATTACGTTGAAGGACGTAGCCATGCTGACAGAGCTTCCAATCGATGGTGATGCAATAATTGAAAGTTCACAGAAACCATTGAATGGTTGGGGCCAATTTATAAGCGAGCGTTTAGGTATCAACATAAAGTTCTTAAATCACACCATAAAATTCAAATTACAACATATAAATCACACCATAAAATTCAAATTACAACATAAAGTTCTTAAATCACACCATAAAATTCAAATTACAACATATAAATCACACCATAAAATTCAAATTACAACATAAAGTTTCAATTATCGGTCGATGGCCCTGGACACTGGCGCCTATCATGCCCTTCAACTCGACATGCAGAGCACTTCTTCGGGCGGCGTCGCTGTGTCCTTGATCTATCCATTTCATTTGCAATTCGGTTAACTCTAGGTCGACCTCTAGTACGCTTCATGTGCTCGGGAGGGCACACTACAGGTCCATCATACTGGGGCCAATATGCTTCATGAGCCAAGGGAAAGAACGACCCTTCCCAAACTCTGACCACGTATGGAGTCTTGTAGTATGGACTAACAAATATCAAAGGATCCAAATTAACGCTTCTCGCAGCTGCATATGCATGAGAGCAAGGCAGGTGTCTCCCTTGAAACTTCCCACAAGTACATTCTCCAATTCCATTCTTTGCATCTAGTATAACTGTTTGAGCATTACCACCCTTTGAACTATCTGGTCCACTTCCTGTTACTACTGAAAAGCGGGAATCTCTTCGACTAAATAAAGTCACCTTATGCCATTTTGCCCTTTCTGACCATGGTTTCATATCATCCGTAATCTTCGTTGGGATGTAGATTCCAGCATTCAACATCTGATATGCTGCTTGGTAGCGTTCAACGAACCATGTCACCGTACGAAAGAAGGTATGCAAGACTATAGATGAGATAGGCATTGCACGAAGACCAACATACAAACCATTGAGGCACTCACCCATGTCGTTGTTGTTATTCCATACCTATACCCTTCGTCTTGATGTAACGTCCACCTCTCATAAGGATGAGTTTCTAGCCAATCTGCACCTTCAGAGTGGACCTCCCTTATGCTCTTCATTTTGTCTACAAACTTTCGAGTCTGAAAAGCAATAGCTACAATAAAGCAAAATAAGGTTAGTAAAGGAGTATACACATTCAACCAATTGATATAATCACAACATCTTATTTGTTCTTACCAGCGTGCCAAACTGCACGTTGTCCATAAGTTCTACCAAAGTGCTTCCCGTAATTGCTTTTGAAATGTCGTATGCACCATCGCCACTTCCACCCTAGCTCCTCGGGCAGGTCGTAGAAAGCATGTCTAATTCCATGGTGTCGATCAGAAAGTATGGCAATGTCCTTCCGTTGAGTGACACGAGTGTATAGTTGGGAAAAAAACCATGCCCAACTTAAGTTGTTCTCCGATTCGACTATAGCAAAAGCAAGGGGGAAAAGTTGCATACTGCCATCAACACTAGTGGCAACGAGTAGAGTGCCCTTGTATTTGCCGGTCAGAAAGGTGCCATCAACTTGGATTATTGGCAGACAATGGGTGAAACCATCAATGCAAGGTTTGAATGCCCAAAATAGTCTCTTAAACACGCGTTTAGCACCTCCATAGAAATCTTCGTAACTAGGCACAAAAACAGACCCAGGATTCTTGTCCTCCATTGCAAGAATCAAACGAGGCATGTTAGCAAATGACTCTTCCCAATCACCATACACCTCTGCCATAGCTTTTTGCTTCCCATGCCATGCTTTCTTGTAACTGATGGTATAGCCATGTCGATTCTTCACTTCAGCGATGACACTCTTCACGGTGATCCCAGGTTGTGCCTCAATCAGATGTTTGATTGTTTGTGCAACCTTCCTTGCACTCAATTGTCGGTGATCTAGAGAAATCAGTGACGACCTACAAGTGTGATTGTTGTCTGTCTTACGAATGAGCCAAGCCCCATTTCTTTTAACATATGCCGCCCGAACATGCCACATGCATCCGTCGCCATGGTTCTCGCAACGAACATGAATTTGTTTAGTGTCAGAAGTGATGACACGATATTGAAAGCTTCTTCGCATAGCAGTTTCTTTCAATGCATCGACCACCTGTGGCTTTCCTGCAAATGTTTGGCCAACCACGAATCCAGAGTCAGGAGTCCAGATTGGTATAGGAGGGAGGTCAGGATCGTCGTTGTGAGCATAGAGAGGATGTTGTGGCACCATCGTGTAGTGAGGTGTGGGGGGCTCAAATTCCCCCTCGTCAACTTCCAGATCTTCACCATCTGAACTACTCATTGATTCTAACTCTTCGTCTTCCACGTCGCTTGCCTCGCTAGTGTACGGAGGACTTGGTTTATCCACATATGGATCATTGTTGATGCCAGATGCTGCTGTATATGCTTGTCTGGGTGCCCTTATGTAATCCCATTCTCCACCCCATACTGGCCACTCCTGTCCGTCATGTTCCACCAATGGACCAGTTGCAGTTCGATCCTCGTATGTTGGCCATGGTGCATCATGCCGCACTCTGAAATCTCCTGAACCGGAAAAACCTCCCGATCCTTCACCTTGTTCGGTATAACCGCCCCCACCATATTGGCCAACAACTTCTGTCTCGACATACACCTCAGCAGTTGGAAATCTGTTCTCTGCAATAAATCTCATCATCATATTAACATCATCATCGTCAGACAAAACTGATCCTTCATATACAAGTGCATAATCCTTGTAAACCGGCATACGGTAAGTCATCTTGCATACTCTTCTCCCTCCTATGCAACATCGTTCAGCACAAATATGGCTGAGTTCTTGCCAAGTAAATATGCTCTTAATCGGGACAGTACTTGATTCACCATCTTCGTAGTCAATACTATCATGAAAATGGGTAATTCGACCATTCCACCGAATCAATAAGTCGAATTTTCGAAAATTTCTACCCATTTCTGCAGTTTATAGAAGCAGCTCATTACATACAGTACAAACTATTCTAAATTAATCTAAAATTCTAATACGCTCATTCAAACAACGTAAGCAGAACTTACCTTCAAAAATTTTCTTCTTTGGTGGTGAGCTATGGTGCTCCAGCTGCTGCAGATTGTGTTTGGAAGAAAGAAGATAGAAAGTAAAAGAGCTGCCAGAATGTGCTAAGTGAGGGCTTTTTATCCTCGTAAACTGATGCAGTGGTTCGAGTCTAATACACTCGATCTACGCTAGTTCGAGTTTATTAAACTCGATCTACGCGATCCAATAATTTCCCCCCTGCACCCTATTCTGGAACATGTCGGACCGAAAGCGACTGGACAGAATTATTGACCAAAGTAGTTCGAGTTTAGTGTAATCGAACTACACTAGTTCGAGTCCTTAAAACTCGATCTATGATAACAAAGAATCTTATCCCTGCAACCTTATCCTGAAGCATGTCGGTGGGCCTGTGGTTCGAGTCTTTCAGAATCGATTTACCTAGTTCGAGTCATAGAGACTCGATCTAGTGCAGATAAAGATCGAGTGTGTTAAAGTCGTTGCACTAAAACGAGGTTTCAGGGGTCGATCTATTTAAATCGAGTTGCTTATACTCGATCTACTTGATCGAGTTTGCCTTCATCGATCTAGTGAGATCGAGTTCTTTGCCATCGATCTATGTTGTTCGAGTTTGTCATCGTCGATCTATGTTGTAGTTCGAGTCTTATAAACTCGAACCCTTTGAAACTTGGGTAGTTTGGGAAAATTTTATAAAACTTATGTATTCTGGGAATTATGTATAATTTTTACTGTATTCTGGGAATTCTTCCTTGGTAAAGTATATGAATTCCGCACGCTCATGGGGCTGAAATCAGAGAAAACGTAACTCTTACACAATCTATGTTCAAGTTCACCACCGAAACCACCATCTGTTGTCATATGCATGAAAGTAAAATTAACAGAGGGGAGAAGTTCTGGTTTTGATTACATTGGTAACTGATTTGATTAACAGTTAAATTAACAAAGCTGTCTAGAGACTGATTTGCATTAGTACATGGAGGGAATCAAATAAACAAACAACTCAAGATATGTTATTTCTAAAACTAGAAATAAGCCTTGGGATGGATTTTTACTGATACAGAAGTGAAAATAAAATGTAATTCTGAATTGGGGTGGTTAAAAAAGGGGGGGGGGGGGGGGGGGGGGGGGCATCTCTACGGTTTTCTCCTGAAATAAGGAAAACTATAGTGGCAATTACTGCTGCTTTCTTCCTCTTCTCCTTCATTCTCTTTTGATTCATTACTGGAAACCTCTGTGATCCCACTTGATGCTGAAGATGATCCACATGGAACAACATTCAAATCCCGTGTCTTGTTGTCCTTTTTCATGAAGTTGTAGAACACAACCTTTCTAGTAGTAGGAGTGGTAGTCCCAGTTTTGGGTTGGGGGGAGGGTAGGTTTATCCCATTTTTCTGGTCACCAAACTTAATGCTACTTCTGGTTTCCTCCTCATTCTTGTTGTTGGCTCCCCTCTTCTTCAAAAAAATCCGGCATAAAACCCAGTTCTCCATTGGCACAACAGAGCTCTGCAATAGGAAAATATTTGCAGATATGGTTAGACTAATGCATTTCTCATTTCCTCAGTCCATGCATAAAGTTCAAAACTTTTTCCTTCTCCTTCAGAAACCCATCAGAAAAGACTGCAACTTTTTTTTAATCTTTTATCTTCTTCCGTACCTGATTGGTTGAGATGTTGTTGTTTGCTTGAGTAGTAGTTTCAGGATTAAGCAATCGGTATTCATGCATGATCCAATCTGTTCTAGTTCCATGGGGAGGCTTCCCTCTGTAAAAAACCAGAGTCTTCTTCATCCCCGCCGCATAATTTCCCTTGGAAGCCAGAATTTGCTTGTCAATTCCTGTAGCCTTCCAGTAACCTGAGCCAGTAGCTCTATTCGAACGGTTCCCATTCGGGTACTTGGCTTCCTTGGTGCTGAAAAAGTACCTCTCTTGCTCCAAATCCCCTGCAACAAACACACCAAAAAAAAAAAAAAAAAACAGAGTAGTCTCAGTACTTGATCACATAATGTTTTGGGCCCTTCAATTGAGGGAGGCTTATCCTTTGTTTTCAGCTGACCTGGCAAGTCCCAGGGATCAGATTTGCAGACGTCGACTTCAGGGATAATGGAGGCCGGCAAAGGGAAGGAGTAGACTTTCCTCTTCAGGTACTGAACGACTAGCTCTTCATCGGTAGGGTGGAATCTGAAGCCAGGTGGCAGCCTCAGGACGCCATTCTTCACGAAGCTGAGCTTCTCCATTTTGACTTGGGAGAGGGGGGGAAAAGGGTGTACCCGAAAAAATGGTAAAGTCTATAACTTTAGGACAGGAAAACCGGGGAGAGGAAGGGAAGAGGGTTGAGAGAGAAATTGGTGGCGGGGGAAGGAAGAGAGGGTTATGGAAGATGGGGGAGAGAGGTTCTTTATAGTAATGGGTGACGGAGGAAGAAGGGAAGAAAAAAAACAGAGAATCAGAAGAAGGGAAGAAAGAAGGAATCAAAACCCCCCAATCTCTCTCTCTCTCTCTCTTTTGTGGCCAGCCAAATTGGGGGTTTGGCGTGAACCAGACTCAAACTCTTTCCTTCCTTGTTTTGACGCTATTTGTCTCCCGAAGAAACGTTCATGGGTCCTTCAATCGGTTAATTTTGGGTATTTTTGGGGCAAAATCCCTTTAAACCCACTCACCACCACAATCAATACTCTGTTTTCTTCTCTTCTTCTCCTTTGTTTGTTTATTGTTCTTTCTTTTCATCTGTGGTTAACCGTCTGATTTGTGATTAGCTGTGATGGTTTAGTTTGGATTTAACCCTTTTACTTATTTTAGTTCGAGTTATTCTTTCACAAGTTTTCTGATTTGGTTCTACTTCTTGCAACATCATAATATTATGTAATTGAAATGAATAATAATTTAGTTACAATGATATCGAATCAAATAATTTACATATAATGCAACGGTGCTAAAAAAAAAAACAAGTACACTTCTCTATTAAAAAATTGAAGGAAAGAAGAGAGAATTTATCCTCAATTTTTTATGCTCAAAGATTATTTATCCTGATTATATAATTTGGACGGCGGAGAGGGCAATTTGGTACAGGCACGCAATGTCCGTGGGGCAATCTTGTCCTTTGACATCCAACAATGGACGAAAAGGACCAAAATGAAATAATTTTGGGCAGTGGTACAGTAATTTGACCCATTTGCGATTTAACAAGAGCTGAAGTCAGCTTATGTCATGCTTACAGGCTGTAGCTCCAACTTCCTTTTCAATAACCAAAAAATCAATTTATGCATTATGAAAGTACATAAATACCCCTGCCCCTTTTGCCTCTTCTTGCATTGCATGCATGGATAGCGACGGCGGCCGGTCGCCGCGAAATGGCGGGAGGGGAACCGATCCGTAATTCCGCTAATGATAGTTAAACAATCGGTACCAATATAATACAAGGTATTAGTTCATCGACGTAATAATGAATTACATGATAATATGATATACCTTTTTTTTTCTTCTTTTTATTTTATTTTGTATTCATTTTCCGTGTATAGGCTGATGGTGTTGATTGTTGATAGATAAAAAAAATTATCGTTAACTCAACAGGTGTAAATTCGTAAATTCCGAAATATGAAGCAGGGTGACATACATATGTATAAGTAAGGGTTAATACCTTAGTTTTGGCCGAACTATAGACAAACTTTCTACTTTGGCCCGTGGTATCGGAAATTGCTATTCTGGCCTAAACTATGTAGCATACTTTCTTATTTGGCCCGGAGGTGGGTTTGACCGTCAAATTAGATGGTCAACTCGGTTGACCGTTAGTCAAAGTCCACCTCACTTGCCACATCAGCTATCAAGGAATAAAAAATTAATTTTGTATTTTGAATTTTTTTTTTACTTTGTAATAATAAAAATAATAAACGAAAAAAAATTACTTAAAAAAGCTCCCCAAATTATTTTTATTTAAATTTAGAAAGTAAACAAAACAAAAAAATTTAAAAAATAATATTTTTTTATTCCTTGATAGTTGACGTGGCAAGTGAGGTGGACTTTGACTAACGGTCAACCGAGTTGACCATCTAATTTGACGGTCAAACCCGCCTCCGGGCCAAATAAGAAAGCATGCTACATAGTTTAGGCCAGAATAGCAATTTCTGATACCATGGACCAAAGTAGAAAATTTGTCTATAGTTCGGGCCAAACTAAGGTATTAACCCTAGAAGTAAAGAGAGTACATTTGACATTGTTAGAATTTTAACGATTTGTTGTGTTTTACTCTTGTAGTCTTGTTAGAAATGACTAAAACTCTAACCTGATTGATTGATATAGAAAACAAAAAAAAAAAAAAAATTTACTACGATGCGATAACAATTCATAAATGTAGAATAATCAAGTTATAGTATAAGTATTGGAATCTATTTGAGTACTAGCGTGGCCCCGGCCAGTTGGCCGGAGGAAGATAAGCTACGAAATTTGAGAATGTAATGCAGTGTAGGACTTATTGTTGTATAGTTTTTTTTGGAAACACGTGATAAAGATAGTGAATTTTAGCAAGAAAGAGACATGAATGATGCAACAAATCAAAAATCAACCTTATGAACTAAGTTCGAGTACTTGTTGCCTTATGAAATAGTATTATTTCTGGTGACATGATGAGGTGGAGTAAGTTTTATAGAAACCGAATTCCAGAAAATCAAATAAAAAATCGCCTATCCCGCCGGTCTTCGGGAAATGAGCATCTCACAATCGTTGCTAGATTTTACACGGCCCGTTGGCCGATTAATTTTCGTTATAAAACTTTCATCTTGTCGTCATTGTGCTTGCCGATTTTTCCCAGGTCATGATAAAATCTAAAGAAATCAAGGACGAACAACACAATTTGGGATAGAAACCATTGTTCCTGTATTGCTAGAAAATGATGGTAAACTGGGACTCAACTGCCGAACTGGTTTGGATTGAGATTTTTATCTGGTGTTAGGGAACCATGTGATTATAAATTAGACTTGATCAAAACGGGCCAAAACTTGAAATTCAGCCTATTTGACCGACCCATGCCAAGCTCCATTTATTCTTTACTTTCAAACTTTCTATTTGAAAATAAAAAAATAATGAAAGAAAAGAGATGACTACAATTCGCCATTTGCACATCACTGTTTCGGGAACAAAACTATAGAAATTCGAAAGGAAACTCAAAATGTTTAGGATCATTTTAATGGTAAAAATAACCAAATGGATCTTTCTGTTTAGTTTTTAACTAACAAATACCAAGCGATTCTCTATAAAATACACTATAATTTAATCATTATGATATCAAATAATTACATAATATATATTTAAAATTATAAAAAATAAATTAATTGGGTTGGTCGAGGTTGAAGCATTTAATAACTTTAAAATATATTATATTTTAGCCACTAAGATATAAAATAATAGCATAATATATGTTATGCTAGAGAAAATAGCTTGTTTTAGTATAGCAAACCCATGATGTTCATTTATTTTACTTGATGACCAAATCTCATATAGGTTAGTCCCATTCAATTCTTTTAATTTATGGTTAGCGATTAGCCCATTAGAATCCATGCATTAGTTTATTGTTAAATTTTTTCTTTTTTAGCAATAAAAAATTAGTATTGTTTTTTCCCTTTCATATATATCTTACCGACACCGAGAAATAAAAGGGCTTAACGAAACATGTTTTGTTTTTGTTGGGCCGCAACAATTCCTGAGCCTGTTGAAGTCCGCATGTGTATGGTAAGTTGGCCCGTTCCATAGAGGAAAGAGAAAAAAATTGACACTTCATATTCTACCCTTCTTACAAACGCTCATGGAGCAGGGAATTTGAAATGGGAGAATGGTTTTTTCCTCCTTGCTATTATATGTTTATAATTTAAAAAGATACAACAAATGTTCTTAGTGTGATTGGTTATGATCCTTGCTTTTCTTTAAAGTGGTCATGGTTCAAATCCCAGCATGTGTCTTTTTTATAAATAAATAAAACAAAGTAATTGTGAAGACCAAAATGTCCTTCCTACTTTCACTCTCGTTGCAGGAAATTTGAAATGGAGCAACAGTTTTCCCCTTCCGGCTATTATATATTGTGTAGACTATACTTTAGATCTCTTACCACTCGTCATGGAATTGGCCAAATGATGCAAGCATTGACATATGTGAAGAATCTAGTAGATATGTATCCTGAATCATCTACCATCGTGACTGAACAATGATCAAAATAATCATATATGATTTACCTTATCTTTGATGAAAGGTCACTCACTCGCGATGTAAATCTCATATCTCCCACACAAATAGTACTTATGTCTTTCAACCTCCTTTTACCTGGTGATTCTACTTAATGAATTAAACATGTCACATTCATTCCTCCTAGTTAATTTCTTCGTATCTCTTCTATTTTTACGATGAAGAAGAGAAAGAGAACAAACCGTAATAGCTAACAGCATAACCAATTAAGTATTTATCAATGAAGTCAAAAATTGATCCATGCTTATGTCACTAAGAAAATGAACACTGGATATTTGAAAGGAAAATTGTCCTCATTTTATTAATTTTCCATAATATATATAAAAGAGGATATCTCTATTTACAAATACAACAATGTGGTTTGAAGCTCAACTTTGAATCTCACCAGTCACCATGGATCTCGATCATGATGTCAATAACGACGGAGTTATCCTTTTGCCCACCAACACCACATGGATCTCTAATAATCCAAGTTGGATCCTTTCTATCCTCTAGCTAGATATATACCAACGGCCGCCGGCCGGTGATCATTTTGTCTTGTTGTAATTTTTATAATTTTGATGTGATGTAGTCAATGAACTCGTATTGTGAAACATTTATACGGTGAAAAATTCAATAATGACCATATAAAATAATAATTATTATATTATTAAAAGAGGGCTGGCTAGCTTGCTCTCTTCTGCTTCACATCCACAAGGTAAGATCAAGCGATCAAGCTCATAGCTTTTATCGACGAACAAGGAAGAAAACAAAAGAAATGGGGGAATTTTCTATTTCCAAAAAAAAAGTCGGTTTAGTATAAGTTTAAATTGGACGATGGAAACGAGAAATTATAGTAATAAATTATGTAGGGGGAAGAGATAGAGATGGAGCTAGCTTTGTAAGATGAAATGCAAACATAACATAAGTGGTCAAATTACTCAAGTACAGCCATACGTGTGGGCGCCTGCCGCTGGTTGCCGGCGCCGCCGTCTCCTTAAGCAACGCACGTAACTTAGGAAGTGATGCACCAACACCATCTGGAAGCATATCGTTGATGATAACAAGTAGTTATTCTTCCAAACGCAACCGAATTCATTTTCCGGCCCTACACTTTTCTTCTTTAATCCCCAAACGTAGATACGCGATTTGTTGGGACGAGCTTAATATTGACTTGATGTCCGAGTTTTATTAGTGGAAAATTTGGGTCCGACTTATGCTATATGACAAGATTCATGTATAATTAAAGTATTAATCAAGATAAGTAACTTTATGACTTGAAGATAGATAATCTGTCCTGTTAGTGAATTGGGGTTTAGCCGTTTAGAGGTGAAGCATCCGGTTTAGGGTTGGGGGCGTTGCCCTCGATCCGTGGTGTATGGACTTATACACGTTTGTTTTAGTGTTTTGGACCATGTCTATAACATTTTATTTTTCCATTTTGGATTATGTAGGCCATCTAGAAAATGTGTTATATATATATATATATATACCTTTTCAATCTCTGTAGTCTGCACCTTTTCAAATATAGTTAAGCTATATTCCACATAAATATATATATATATATATATATATATATATATATAT